ATTCCTATTAATCTACTCTGATATAATGCAGAGATATGTCGTAGTGTGTCCTGTTATGTTATGATAGTATTTATGGAGCTCGCCGTCGCATATACTGTATGTTCGTGCTGTAAGGTGGCACGCCCCCCATTCTCAACAGTTGCTCGCACCCCGCCCCACCCCCCCCCCCCCCCCCCCCCCCCCCGCCCCACCCCCCCCTTCCCATCTCCCCCCTCTCCCCCTCTTCCAATCGCTCGCTAGCCGCATCATGCTGTCTCTCTCCTCTCTCTCGTCTGCTTCTCTCTTTCTACTGTCTGACTCTCTCTCTCTCTCTCATCGCATCATCCTCTCTCCCATCTGCTCTCACTCTCTCATCTGCCTCATCTCATTCACATCTCTCATCTCATCGATCTCTCTCTCATCTCTCTCCATCCTCTCCTCTCGCTCTCATCTCTCGCTCGCATCTCTCTCCTCTCTCTCTCTCTATCTCTCCCTCTCTCTCTCAATCTCTCTCTCCTCTCTCTCTTAGAACTGTGGAATATGCGCCTGTAGCTAGTTTGACAACTGCTCGCACGGGCTCGGCTTCAAGGTCCGCTGAGTCGTGTGCGGCACCGCTCTGCGCGTACGATGTCAGCCGCGCATCTGCTTAATCTGCGACGCTTCCTTCGCCTATCCATTCATTACCTATTTACCCACGTAAATCATGCGGGAAATTCCCAGAGTGAGAGCGATTAAACATCGCGAAGGATAGTGGAATAGTACTTCCATATGATTATTCCTCATGCACAGCTCCGATTACTAGCGCGTAAAGCGTTTGCAAATAAAAAGTGTTAAAATTTCTACGCCATCGCTTCCGCATTCGCGCACGCGCGTAGGTTTTAACTAGGTAGTGACAGTACATACATTGCTCTGGAAAACCACCTGTCATTGTGGTGGGGTGGGTTGTATTGAATACTGATGAAAGTTTTTCTATGATGTAACTGAAACGACTGAAATATTAGGTATGTCATCGTTACAGTGCACACATTTATGGCATTTAATGTTATGATCGTATAGTGATGTCTGATACGTTTGGTC